TATTATTATCACTCTTTTCAGCAAGGATATCAGAAGGTGAGTGCCCCTGCGATAGTTGAGCTACAACTGCGTAACTATATATGCATTCATACATACATACGTACATGTTTTCGTTCCAAGTGAGTGTATGCAAATATTTAAATAATTTCTATGGCTCGCTCCGAATTATTGGAGCGTATTCTTGCTTTCGAACAAATCGAAAATTCAAATTTTTTGTTTAGAAAATGAGAGGAAAATTTCACGATTTTCGATTCGTACGAAAAAAAGAATACGCCCAATTTTTCTTGGCATTATTATTCCTTGTAAAGTAAAAAAAATTATGTAATACCTAAGTATGTATGTAAAATGAAAAATACTAAGTACTATCTATGACGACAGCCATGAGTCTTAAGCAAGTCCTTTTCAAAAATCTAACAAAAATCAAGAATTTCCAACAGAGATTTCAGGGGCAGTTACACTTTGAATGTAAAATGCCTTTCGAAAACTGTTTTTATTTCTGAAAATCCGACTTTCGAATACTACTTTTTGTCTTTTTACACGGCGAATGCAGACAAGTCCACTTTCAACTGTGTTACCAGACATTTTTGTGCTCATGAAAAATTTGTTAAAAATGCTAAAATGCGCACAGAACAGCCGCAAAATGTAAAATTCTTTAATATTTAAAGAGTGAGAATAAATTAATTATAAGCATTTTTGATACATATGTGACGCAACATTTATAAAATTTTATACAAATTCGCCAAACATTGCGGCACTCGGCAACACTCGATTGGTTTGACAGCACTTGCAGCAAAAATTAAAATTGCTATTGAAGCACGAGCAAGTTGAAACTATTTATCGAAAGCGATTTCGGTAATTTTCGTTGCAGATACATCTTACAATTTTCATTTCCGAAAGTGATTTTTGCAAATCTGAAAAAGTGACTTTATGGCTGTTTACACGGGAAAGTAGACTTTCGTTTCACATTTTGAGAAAAGGAGCTAGCATTGCCACGCTTAGCCGCACAATTTGTTCAAATTTTTCAATAGAAGGTCGCTGTGCTGTACCAATAGTGTGACTACAAAAAAATGGTGCCTCCGATGTTTTTTTTTCATACCAATAGCCCAAAATAAAAACTGTACAAATCTGTAAAAATTTACCAATGTCAGTGGTCTTTAGCTGAAATATTTGTATACAACATTTTAAATGTAACTTTCTGTATTCTATCATAACTCATAACTAGCTCAGATTGAACACTTGTTAAATATGTACAGTTTTTTAAATTTTACTTCCCGTACTAATTTTGTTCAAATATTTTGCAAAACCGTGATAACGAAATTTTTGCGTATTTAAAGCAGATCTTAACTCNTGGAGAATTTCATTAGCTTTCATTTATATTAAGATTATTAAATTGGTTTGTAAGATATACGTGATTAAGGGGAACCACTTTTTGTTTTAAGCTGAATAACGGTAAATTGCAAATATTTCGCAAACTTATCCAAAGAAAAAAAATTAACTGGATTTCCGGAATCACCGAGCAATTGGATAGTGGCGTCTGGAGAACAAAAACCAAACTTAAATTTGTGATCCAGTGTAATTAAGGAACGTATTTCAACAAAATAATTTGATCTGATCTTGATGCTAATAGAAAATCAGAGGAACATATGTAAGCATGCCACTAATGTAATTTGAAATAATTAAAATGTTGAAAACAGTACGGCTGGATAATTAGAAACGCTTTTCTTTTACAAGTTTTGACCATCAATTCTTATGTATTAGTTTTGATTTATTTAAAAAAAAAAATATATATAAAATAAAGAAAATCATTTCTAATTACATATTGGCCACCATTTTATTTAACAGTGGCATGCCATTGCTTACTAGCTGCACTTACTGAACTAATTTAAAACGTGATTGCATATTTTGAATATTTTGTATATCTTCTTACCGCCGTACTAAAGTGAGTACCCTTGCGTGAGCCCAACGATGAGCCGCCGAATGATGCCTCAATTGTGTAACTGTTTGTGATGCCCAGCATCCAGACCACAATGCGGCCGGTACCCTCTTTACTGCGTTGCACCTTAAATTTACAACTTTCAAAGGAAAACTGCAAAAAAAGACAGACATGAAATGAAAACATTAATTGTGTAGAAATGTAGCGCAAAGCAAAACGTAAAGAAAAAATAACAGAAAATTTAGCAACAAGAAATATTATGTGGCACACCAAATCTGGGTTATGCTTGTTAAGTTAGAAAAGAAGAAAAAAGCAACCGCCCACCCGAAAAAAATCCTTCCCGTTAAATGAAAATCATATCTAACAATGCGCCTTTCGCAATGGGAAAAGTGAATTCGTCGCTTTGATCTTCAGCCACCCGCTACTCACCTTATCAGCGACATTCTTGTGCAGCATTAACGGAAAGACCTGTTCCGTGAGCTTCTTTTCGGGATTACGTTTATTCTCACAGCCATAAACGAAAATGTTGTGCTTGCGCGAATGGGCGTGCATATCACAGTACAAGACAACTTTATATTCATCAATCAGTCTTGGCACCGCCAGAGGAAAGCAAAAAATTTATGAAACAATTATAAAAGAAAAGAACACAGTGCGTTTTCCATTTGTTCACATTTAAATCATGATAAGCATTTTAGCAACTTTTATTATCCGATCTTATGTACCTTTTAACCATGGCTTTTGTATACCAAATGGATGGATACGTTTCGCGTATAACGGTGCGATATTGCCGATTTAGATCTTTGCCCGTCAACGAGTTGCGCGTATTCCCCACAATTACACCATCCGGATTGAGCATTGGTATTAGCTTGAAAATGAAGCGATGACGTAGTCTTTTGGCGGCCAAAGTATCGCCGGTGATGAAATCCATTAGTCCCTTCATCATCCATGAGGCTGGTGTTTCGCTCGGATGCACACGCGCCGATACTACGATTGCTTTCTTTTTCTGCAAAAAAAGAGACATTCTGGTATAAAACTTTTAGCTTGGATTTAATCTTGCACTGAGTAGGTACACCATTTTTTTCAGAGGAAGTATGAATGCATAGAAAAATATTGAGCAAAATTAATAAAAGTTGGAAAACTACTCATAAAAACAATGCGCCTTCTGAAGCAATGAGAGCAAAATATTAATTAATAATTTAGATTTACATACTATTTGATATGAATCAAATGTAGGTAGATTTTATTGTCCTTGGCTTAATGAATAGAGAAACTCTCAAGCCGTATAACTTGTGTATATGATAAAAAGCCTTCCGTATTAAGCATTCGTTTGAAGTAAGTGATATTTAAGGATCTAGTTATTTGAAAGTCTTGAATGAATGTATGTAAAATTTTTCCCATAAACATATTTTTCCCAAAGTAAACTAAACTAAAGCAAANGATTTGAAAGTCTTGAATGAATGTATGTACAATTTTTCCCATAAACATATTTTTCCCAAAGTAAACTAAACTAAAGCAAAAGCTTAGGTTGTGATAAAACTGCATGTATGGAAAATTATATACTTTTACTCGGATGCATAGTTGTTCATTGTGAACGCCGTCTATAAGTGAAAGTCAAGAGGAAGCTATCCCCTAAGCGATGTTCGTTTGGAAAGATCTCTCCGCCAGACCGATGAAAAAGCGTGACCCTTCGATTGTAGAAAGTGATCAACTAATTCCTCCTGACATAATTCGCTTGTAAGAACTCCTACTGAAGATATGTTGCGTTTCAGAAGACTTTTTCTCTTTCAATCGTAGGGCCTTAATACCTCACAAACGTCTTGTTTAGTGCATAAGTCGTTTGTGATGTCTACCTCTATTCATCAATTCTATATAGCGAAAAGCCATGTTTGACCTAGAAGATGAAAATTCTGACTGATCTGTACGTCCTCCTAAGTCGGAACTGGTTGCTTTCTCCATTTTTAAACCATCTGTGTAGATCAGAGGTTCCCAAACTTTTTTTTCATAGACCCCTTTCAAAATTTTACTACTTTCGGTGGACCACCTGCTGCTATGTTTCTAAAATATTCCCAAAGCTCATCAAAAAATATGAAAATTAGATCTAACGATGCACATAGGGGTATTTGAACGATTTAGGCGGCCAAAAACCAATTTGACAAAATTTTGGAGAGAACATAAAAAATTAGTCACTTTCGATAGAGAACATTCCAAATAACATTTCCCAGTCCTCCTCACTTTTCTAACTTGCACAGCGAACGCTCACCGTTGACCGGAAACAGAATATTCTTACGCTGCTTATAAATAAATTTTCGCTCTCTAGAAAGATCGTGACGGTTTTAAGTTAATATTTTGATTACTGCATTATATTCTTAAAAACTAGTGATGGATCCGCATACAGACGGTAATAATGCATTTAAGGGTAATTTTTTTAAATAATTTTATTAAGCAAAAGTTCAAGTTAAATGTAACGAAGCCAGCGGTTTTCAACGAGTATTTTTTGTTAATTTTTCTGAATATTAAGGAATTTGTTGTATCCCCGGGAGAGATCGCGTTATTAATCTTGGTTCAATTGAAAGCTTAGAAATTTGGCTAATATAGTGTGAAACGACTGCCCGCAGAAAATGGCAGATAAGTGGTATTTCTTAACTTGGAAAATGTATTAAAGAAAATTCTAAAAACGCAACTAGTATATAGTGCACTACTTTAGATCTATTTCCACAATAAAACTAAACTTTTTAGATGAATTTGAGTCCATTTAATATAACAAATAAATATTTTTCGATATATTAGCAAAAGTTATGTTTTCCAGGACCTTTCGGTCCTGTTGCTAGAAATCTGCGGGAATGTAAGGCGAAGCCAACTATGTTATATATTTCGGAATAAACATTTGTTTTCCTTTACATTGGTGTTGTATAAGTGATGATTAAAGAAATAGTTTTGGGTATACAAGCGTTTAAATTTAGATAACTGTCAATTTAGACAAATCTACTGAGGAAAACGCCCTTATTCCTGATAATATGAACGTTTCAAACGTTCCATATTTAAATTGGGCTCCACTTGTATCAACTTACGTCGAGCGCACATTTAGTACTACAACTATACAGATTAAAGTTTTATGAGTTAGAAACTCGAAAGGATAAAATAGTCAAAGATTCAAAGTACAAATTTTTCATATAATGAAACTAGTTCATAGTTTTTCTCTTTT